CAGTGTGTATTTCTAACACAAGCCAAATCTAAACAACTGTGAAGGGGGGAGAGGAATGCATGGTCTTTCAGATCTCCAGGAATACATACATAGCTGTGGAGGCTGTGCTGTTAAAACGCTTGTGCAATTTGCATAAAGGGGTGTTTGCAGTTAGGGGGGTTTGCGGTGGGCTTCTGATGGGCACCCATTATACTTTCTCCTTCTCATAGTCCTGGTTCCCTTCCCCCTCTTGCTCTGGGCAACGGAGTAGCAATTCCTTTCCCTCAGTCTCTGAATTGTGAGTACAGAGCCTTAAGATGGAAAACAGCAGACAATGGGCTAGTCCCAGGGCATGCATGTGACGCAGGCACACACCTGAGATCTGGAGCTTTCAAAGTGCCTGGTGCTTTGCTCGTCTCCTCTGAGTGGCCTCCTTGGATTCTCAATCCCCTTAAAACCTTTCCAATAAATTCTCTTTTCACTGAAATTAAATAACTCAGTTCTAAAAAACAGTGATTCAAATAAAATAACTACCCAGGATGAAGTAGGAAGCATCAAACCAGTTGTAGAATCCTGTTCTCCTGAATTTACATCCAGGGTTTCCTTGGATGCTACACACATGTGGATTCCAAGAAATGTGTTAAGAACTGGAGAAGGGGAAATTTCCAAGCCAAATCCCTGCCTCAGTTGTGGGGGAGGGGAGAGGAGAGGGTGCATGTGGAGAGGGTCTCTTGTTGTCTCTACCGCTCCCTACTCTGGGGTTCCCTAGTGAAGACAAGGAGGGCAGACGTGTTCAGGCATAGCTGTTCATACCAAACTGAACTCTCAGGCATTTAGAAGTAGAAAAATTGACACCAGAGTAACTCCAGTTTGCACTTCAAAGAAAGCAAAGCTAGGAAGCCAAGAGCTAGAACTCAGTATCATTCCAGAAACCCAGCATTGAACTTTGCCACATATTCTGATGCATGATGAAAACCTGTAACTTTGCTAATGCTTTTTTTCACTTTACCCTAGGGCAATGAGCCGAGACTCCTGAATCCTAAGCCAAGAGCCTGATTCAATATGTTTGCTTATGTTTACTGACTTTGGAAATTAATTTTAAAAGGTTTCCTTTACAGTTTCTGCTGTCAGAACCTGTTTTAAAGGGAAGCTGAGAGTCCAGTAAGATGGTGGCAGAATGAAGACCCTGGGCTCCTCTCATGTGGAGATTCACAGTTAGGTCATAGTAAAGCAAAGCCAAAATCTCCTAGAGAGAAAAATGGACAGTCATAGGACACAACCGTGAACAATGGCCTAGTAGAATGAGGTGGGGAAGGGAGAGGGAGGCGTCATTTGATAGGTAAACAGTTTCAGATCAGCAAGATACAAAAGTTCTAGTGATCTGTTTCACAACCATGTGAAGATACTTAACTGCTGGGCTGTGCATGGAAAGATGGTTAAGGTGATACACTTCATATGATATTTTTTATCACAATAAAAAAAGTGGCCAAACTGTAAAACAAACAGGACACTAGGATCCTAATCTAGTTCAAATTCTAACTGTTCCTGAACACATATAAAAGTGCTTTTTTAAAGTAACTATAGTAAAGTAAAAATCAAAATCATCAGGCAACTATAGATATCAGAGAAGTCTGCAGGGGAGGAGGAGGGAGAAGGATCATGACAGGGGTGGGAAGAGCACAAGGGACTGTGGTGATGGTGCAGGGGTGAGTGGTGGTGGGAATTTCACAGGGGCCATACATTGTACAGAAATGAAGGATGATGTAATAAATAGATTTTTAAAAATTAAAAATAAAATAAATAAAGTGCTTTTTTTTTTAAAATGAGGCCCAAACGTTTTTCAAGATTCCTGTATATAACAGCCAAGCCAATGCTGAATATTGTTTTATACGAAGATAATCCAC